ATAAAAGACTCCCAAAAGTCCATTGAAAAACTCTTAGATATAATAAATACATTCAGTAATGTATCTGGATACAAAATCAGTACTCAAAAATCAATAGCATTCTTATACACTAACAGCAAAATCACTGACAGAGAAATAAGAGAAGCCACACACTTCACACTAGCAACTAAAAAATGTGAAATATTTAGGAATTACTCTCATGAAAGAAATGAAAGACTTATACAGGGAAAATAACAATACTGAAAAAAGAAATTGAAGACAATCTGAATAAATGGTAAGATATCCTTTGCTCATGGATAGGAAGAATAAATATTGTGAAAATGGCCATTCTCCCAAAACTGTTATACAGACTCAAAGCAATCCCAATAAAAATACCATCAACATACCTCATGGATCTCAAGAAATCACTCTTAAAATTAATCTGGAGTGTGAGGAGACCTAGAATAGCAAAGACAGTTCTAAGTAGCAAAGGCAAGGCAGGAGGATCAGAATCCCTGACTTAAAGTTATACTACAAAGCAACTGTAGTAAAATCAACATGGTACTGGAATAGAAACAGAGCCAAAGATCAATGGAATAGATTAGAAGATACAATCACAACTACCAACACACTCAACCACCTTATCTTTGATAAAGGGGCCAAACAGGTTCATTTGAAAAATGACAGTCTCTTTAATAAATGGTGTTGGAAAAACTGGCTATCCATATGCCAAAAACTAAAACTAGACCCATGCCTATCACCATGTACTAAATTAAAATCTAAATGGATCAAAGATTTGAATATTAAAATGGAAACACTAAATATATTGGAAGACAAATTGGGTTGGGTAGAAACCTTGAAGACATAGGGGTAGGTAGAGAATTCATAAACAGGACTCAAACCGCACGGGGAAATACTTCCCAGAATCAATAACTGAGATCACCTCTTATTAAAAAGTTTCTGCATGTCAAAAGAAATCTCCAGCATAATGAAAAAAAAAATCCACAAACTGGGAAAAACTCTTAGTGAATGTCCCTCAGACAAAGGCCTTCTGTCTAAAACATATAAAAAATTAAAAAAAAATCAGGTCCCCAAAATTCAAAGATTTAGGGGCTGGGGGTTTAGCTCAGCGGCATAAGCACCTGCTGTGAAAGCAGGCAGTCATGAGTTCGATCCCCATTACCAATAAAAAGGAAAAAGACAAAAAAAATCAAAGATCCAATCCAAAAATGGGCATCTGAGATGAACACACACTCCTCAGATGAAGAAATACAAGTGGCAAAAAATACATGAAAAAATGTTCATCATCATTACCCCTTAGAGAAATGCAAACTAAAACCACACTGAGATTCCATCTCACTCCTCAAAGAATGGGCCAGGATCAAGAAAACTACCAACAACAAATGCTGCAGAGGCTATGGGAAAAAAGGAACTCTCATGCACTGTTGGTGGGAGTGTAGACTGGTGCAATATTGTGGAGGTCAGTCTGGAGATTTCTCAAAAAGCTGGGATTGGAAGTCCCATTTGTTCCAGCTATTCTACTTGTAGGCATACTCCCAAAAGAACTGAAAGCACCATACCACAGTGATATATGTGCCCCTATGTTTATAGCAGCACAATTTGTAATGCCCAGATCTTGGAAACAACCTAAGTGTCCATCAACTGAGGAATGGATAAAAAAAAATTGTGGTATTTTTATATAATGGAGTACTAAGCTATAAAGAAGGATCACATTGAGATATTTATAAATAAATGTGTGCAGCTTGAGACCATACTCATAAGGGAAATAAATCAAACTCACATGTATGAATACTAAATAGTTTCCCTAGTTTAAGAAATGATACAAATACATAAAACTATGTGGTAATCATAATTCCCCATTATATGGCTTTTAAGCCTTATAAAGTTTTCACTCATTAATTGGAATGATTTTATTCTGGGCTGTTTGATATTATTGTCTGTTGTACAGCTATTTTCAAGAAAACAAGACATCATAATAGTGCTGATTTAATATCATCTTGTTTTGAAGTCCCATCAAACTGAAGTTCTTGTGTCTCCATTGGTTTTATCATGTTGTATCTTATTGGATTTTATTATATGTGACAGTATAGACAAAATTTTTTATAGGCAAAGAGATAATATAGAAACCATTGTTCGTTTTCTGTTAGCTGGTTCCAAATACCCTGTAATACTTTCATCCTCTTGAATGGTTTTACACTGTCTTGATATGGTTGATGTTATAGTATATGAAGTTATACTCAAATATTTCAAGGAAAGAGACACCATGGTAACTACTATTAAGTCAGGTTATCTTGTGGTGAAACACTATGTTGCTTAAATTGTTCTGTTCTGACCTGTATTGTTATGTTGTTATGTCCTCTTTGATCTCAATCTCCCCTTTTTAAAATTTTATTTTTTATTATTTTTTAATTAAGGGAAAAATTTTAAAAATTAGTAGGATATATTATAGTAACTTTTTTGATTTCTTATTAACTTGTTTTGAAGCCCTGTATTGTTCTCACCACTTTGTTTTGACTGATTTTACTCTAGTCTGTTCTGTTTAATAGTTTCAAGTTTGAGGGTATAGGCAACTACTTTGAAGGGAATAAGATTCACTATGATGCCTATTCTGGTTTGACTTTTATCTTCTTTTGAAGTTCTGTAATGTCTCCAATGTTTAGGTTTTATTGGTTTTGTTCTGTACTGTTTTGTTCAATTTCATTATACCTGATGATATAAGCAATTCTTTTTAAGGTAGCAAGAGGCATTATGGGAACCATTGTTGATCACCTTGTATTCTGTTTTTACATCATGTACTATGTCCATCCTTTGTTTTGACTGCTTTGTTTTGTCACATTTGGTTTTATTCTCTTCCAAAAAAAAAAAAAAGAAGTAATAAGAACTGTAGGAGTAATAAAACCCAAAATGTGTAAATGTTATTGCAAAAAATAGAGGAAAAGAAAGTGTTCTAAAGGATACATCTGCAAGTGTGGTTAGGTGTGTAAGACAGATGTCCATATTACTAAGTTTTTGTTGGATCATTTAACACAACTGTTTGCAGTCTCTGTGTTTGAATATCCACTTTGTATGCTTTAATTTTGTAACTTGAACAACTATTTCTAAGATGACAATATGTAATCTATTAAGTAGTGATTTCTTACTTTTTATTTTTTTTGAAATTCTGTATTACTTGTACCCTTTTACTGTTTTTTTTTAAAATAAAATTTAAAAAAAACAAACTCAAGCATCCACTGCATCTCTTTTGTACAATACACTGAATGAAATTTCAATCTCTGGATAAAATGATGAAAGGCATGAGGCTAAGATCTAAGGAAATGTTTTGAAGTAAATTATTGTATTGTATAAATACATGAATCTAATGTTATATTAGGTGTTTTAATGTAAGTTAATGAATTTGTAAAGGAATAAAGTCTGTTCTCATTTTAAGATCTCATTTTTTTATTATTCTACTTATTGATAGTTTCTGGAACTAAGTTATTGTATTTATGAAGATTGTAAAACCTTAATGTCTGAAAATTAAATCAGTAAAAAACTATCAAGATTCCCATTCTAAGATAATTTAGTGTGTCTTAGTTATTTTTTCTCATTGCTGAGACAAAATACTTGATGCCCAAAATTAAGGAAAGAAGTTTATTTAGCTCACAGTTTGTGGAATTTTCAATCTATTACCAGCTGGCTTCAAGCCTGACGACACATGGCAGAAGTGCAACTGTTCATGGTGACAGAAGATACAAAAGCGACAAAGGCCCAAAGGTGGAGGGAGAAAGTCTCTTTTACTTTCTCACATTGTATGCAGGCTACCTGCCCCAAGGCAGGTGGAGAACTTATACTTCCAACCTCAACACTAGACAATGAACCAATCACAAACGCTAGAGTCAACTGTTTCCAAAGAGCCCTCCCCACCACGACTGCATGAAGCTTTGGTGGAACATCCAGACACAAGCCATAACAAAGAGACTAATTATATACATTTTGTGGCTTTTAAAAATTATTTATTTCTTAATGAACAAATCCAAATTGTCTATATTTTTGATGCAGAACATGGTGTGAATTGTGACTGCACTGAAGAATTTTAACAATTGCTATTGGCATTACCAATTTCAGAATCCAAACTTGTGCAGCAAATGCTCACACACTTTTTAGTTTTGACATAATTGGTCCCCAGTAGAGTTCATTTTGCTCTACTTTTGCAGGTTTTGTATGGTAATTTGGTGTTTCATGAGAAGTTGAAGATTTTTTAATACTCTCTATTCAACAGGGAAGCTGAGTCTCCTATGTGTAGTGTCTGAAACAATTTGATCCAAATGGTTACTGCCACAGGCAAAATATCCAAAGATTGTTCATTTGAAAATTATGGCTCTTTTTCAGAATTTTACATTGTGTTCTATGTTTTATGGACTATTCAGTATGCAATGCACCAACACTAATTACTGCACTAATAAGTCAGCATGTTACCAAGATGTTTTGCCGTTATAATTACAGCCACATGTTGTTGTCCTTCCTCAAATAGTCCAGTCTTAATTGCATCATTTTTCAGAAGAGTTTATGTAGTGCAGCTTACTTCAAAATTAGTACAAGAATAAATGAAGTGCAAACTGTTTTCTGCACTGACTTACATAGAGAGCAAATGCTCTGCAGTGGACAGTGGCCAAATTTTCCTGTTCCCTGTTGTCTCTGGAAATTTCTATGTTGAACATGGTTCTGGATTACATCTGCTGTCCCCCTAAACTCTCACAGAATCACAATGGGGCTACTGAAGTAACTTGCGTTATGGGACATTAAAGTTAGTTTATTGTGAGAGCCAGTTCTGGTTAAAAGATACAGCACTGGGAGCATGGCCTGCCTAAAAGGGTCCACCTCCCTACCTTGCTCCTCCCTAACCTCTCTGCTTCCTGGCCACCATCATATGAGTAGCTTTCCTCCATTCAGAGCCTTCCACCAGGACTTCCTGTCTTAGAACTAACTGACTATCCCCTAAAATATGCATGTTCTCTTTCTAGTTGTGGAAGTTGGTTCTTGTGTCCTGGCAACAAGAAAATGTCTAAGAAAGCCTTCAGGGTGCTGGAAATCAAACTGTAGACCTGAAACTTTATGCTGGTTGCAAGAAGGAGAATTTAGTAAAGGAATTTTAAATGTCAAGGTAAGGGGGTTTCAGGATCTCTACCAGAGCAATGTTTGCAAATACTTTGGTATAAATTAGGAAAAAAACCCACATCATTATCAAATTGCTTCTTTCAGCCGTGACAAGTTTATCTTAGGCCTGGTTTACAGTCCCATGTGATTATGGGGTCAGTTTTGTTCTCATCAAACAAGACATCCTTGCACAGTTCGCCAAAAATTACAGGAGACACAGATAGCCTTGGGCCTGAGGGATTTCTGACTCTCAACAGTGAAGTGGCATGAAGAGCAATGAGCTCATGTGTTTTTCTTTTAAAAATATGTCACTATGGACTCTTCAATGCCATGCAGTGTGTTAGGCAATGAATACAGGGATAAAACATCAATTCCTGATCTTGGGTGACAAAGAAGGTAGATTAAGGACAGTCATCAGGTGTAGTAGGCAATGTCTGTAACCCAGTGGCAGATTGATACAGGAATATTACAAGTAGAAGCCCAGCCTGAATAATTTGGCAAACCCAGTCTTGAATTTGGAAAAGAAGGAAGGAAAGAAAGAAAGAAAGCTGAGAATGCATCTCAGTGCATCCCCTGGGTTTAGTCTCCAGAAACGCGCACACACACACACACACACACACACACACACACACGCACATACACACATACACACATGCACATACACACACATACACATGCACACACACATACACACAAATACACACAAATAGAACTTTGACCACTCTAGTTAACTGGTATGAGCTGTTAACACTGTGTCACCACAGAATGAAATGTTCTTGTGGCTCACAGCTCTGTTGCACATCTCAGGTGGGTCTGCTGTTGCTGATTTAAAGTACTGGTTCCTAACCTAGATGGTGTGTCCCCTGGTCAAGGTCTGAAAACATCTGTGACTTTCACCACTAGGCATATTACTGGCATCCAGAAAGTAGAAGCAGCCACATGGTGTAGCATGCTTCAGTTGGCAGAATACTCTCCCCAACAGTATTTTGGTTTAATATGTTGATCGTTCTGAGATTAAGAAAACTTAGATTCAGTAAATATTACCCAATATGCTACTGAAAGAGGTTACATGGAAGACAATACAGCATGAAAAAAGTTCCAGAAATAGTGCTAAGTAGAAAATAGACAGGACTGAGAATGAAAGCCTAGGAAATGCATGAAAGAAAATTTCTCAGTTGCTTGATTAGAACTCCAGCCATGGCCACAGAAAGGTTTATGGATTGTTAAAGTAGAGGAAATGTGGTGAAACTTCCAGGAACAGGGCAAGTATGGCTAGTTGTCAGGAAAGAGCAGAGCAGATGTTTGGAAGTTGAAATGATATCAGAGCAAACACATGGACACAGTCAGCAAGCATCAGGAGTAAGGATGGATGGTCAGAGCCCCCTGGTCACTGGCACAGTCCCTACGTCTAAAGCCCAGTCAATGGCCAGCAATATGTCCTCACTGTGTGGCTCTCTGGCTGAAGATCCAGGATCTCAGCATCCAACCCTGACCTCCTAGCGCTGGTATTGGCTTCCACATCTCCTCCGAAGGTAACAGATGTCATAAACATGGAGGCATGGAGGAGTGGTGCTCACACTCTTATTCAAGTTCCATTAAACCATGTGCTCCTGAAAGATGAAGGAAAAAAGTCTAGAGGAAACACATATTTTAGGCTCCACTGAGCCACATTGTGGGTTTCCCAATCCAGGACAAGAGTCCATTTGGCCAGGGACTAAGAAGCTGACTGTTTCAGGGAGGAATTGGCCCTGTGGAATTGGGGACCCACAAGACCACGTTCAGAAACTGGGACTATCCAGTCCTCCTGGCATGGTTGGCAAGGGCAAGTCAGGCCGCTCCTGTTTTCATGAGGTTAGAAACCTGAGATGGGAGAGAAGTGCCCATCTGTTCTGTCTTCCTGCTTTCCTTTCATGTTCCATCTTTCAGCAGATATGCTGAAGTCAAACCATTTTTCTCCAGACCACAAGGCTGGAAAGATGACACTTTTAGTAGTCTGAGCAGGTCTGTGTTCAGGATTATGTCTCTTCAGTCACCCTCCCTAGGCAGGTCAGTATGATGTTCATCTTCAGAAGGTTGGCTTGGACTCAGGGCAGTTGTGACTTGGAGATCCTGTGGCTCAGAGTAGTGGCTTGTGTAAAGTTTTGAGGGTCACAGTCTGGTTGGGTTTCATCTGTAACAAAATGCCAGGGCTTGGTGCATTATCAGCAGTGCGAGTTTATTTCTCATAATCCTGCAGGCTGGGAAGTCAAAGATCAAGGCACTGGCAGGTGGAAGCCTGGCTCCCGCTTTCTGTGTGCTCCAAGGAAAGGGTAGAGAAGCTCTCCACCATCTTTTTTTATAGGTATACTGGTCCATCTAGGAAGGCTGCATCCCAATCTCCTCACACAGACCCCACCTCCTGAAGCCTCACATTGATAACTAGCATTTCTAAAAGTGAATCTGGGAGGACACCACACTCAGCATTCAACCATGGTTATGTATTTGGCTCGCTGTACTCACACACTCACAAGTTCACCTTTCTTTGCTCTTATTCCCTAAACAACATAGTATAATCACCATCTGCATAGTACTACATTGCATTAGATATTAAAACTAGAGAGGCAACTGGAAATTGGGTCCTGGGGCCCCGCACTGGAGGAGGCCACAGAGAGGACCATGCACCTGGGTGCCAAAAATGGGCACTGAATAGTTTTCTGAAGAGGTAGGATGCTGATCTAGATGTGGAGCCCTGAGCACTCACTGAGACTAGTCCACATTGTACTGGGAGCACTGTGGAGTCAGGCAATTCAAGGTTGAGCTGAAGCCATGGCCACCGATAACAGGAATTGCTGAGTCCCAAGCCCTTGGTGGGAAGACGTGGAGCAGTGTGGAGTAGAGCCAAGAGGAAAAACTGTATTGATTCCTGGTGACTGCAGGGAATTGGGTCCCACGGCTACTGTCACTGACTGGAGGACATCTTGGAGTTGGGCAGAGCCCAGCACAGTGGTGGTGTTAGTCAGGCACCCCTGGAGCAGAGAGGACTGGTGGACTCTGCTGGGGATAAGCTACACCTCTGGTTGTGATCCAATAGCCAAGGACAAAAAGGTCATGACTCTGTGATGTCCACAAGGTACAGCCTAAGCTGGAGAAGGAAATTGTGGGTAGACTGGCTCAGAGGCTAGAGGCTAGCATGCACTGTCCCTATGTCCTTGCCTGTACCTCAGATAACAGCAAATTGGGGAAGGCAGCAAAATCCCAGTCAACATGCTTTGGAAAGACCCTAAGCAATACAGAGACCCCCGGACACACCTGTCTGAAAGAAACCAGAAACATGACAAGTGATAGAAACAACAACAACAAAAAAACCCTCCAGCCACTGACCCTGGGAAAATAAGACAAGGAGAGGTAAATACAGAAGAGAACCAGTGCAGTAATCATGCAATATTATACACAGCATCAGTGGACAAAAAGAAATACCTTTGTGACCTCATAGATGAATTTAAAACTGTACTTCTGATCCAAGTGAAGCAAGATATAAAAATATTAATTAAAGAAACAATAAGCCCCTCCCAAGAGAACACAGATGGAAGAATGGAGGAACTCAGAAAAGGAAGAGAAACCTTTGATGAAGAATATAAACAAAATCTAGAATATATGAAACAGATCCAAAGAGATTACCAGGAAACTAAAAACTCCATTGAAAGCTGGCAAAATGCCTTGACAGAAACTAAAGTTAGCCTTTCAAAACTTGAAGAGAGATGTATGCTGTGTGATCGTGAAAGAAAAGATCTCTTAAAAATAAGAAGTGAGGAAGAAAATTCAAAGGCTAGAAGATGACAAGAGGACTTATAACTTAAGAATCAAAAGTGTGAGCAAAGAAACAGGAGTAACCACAAATGAACTACAAAGACTATTCACGGATATAATTAAGGAAAACTCCTCAAGCATAGGAAAAAGAAATGATATCCAGATAAATGAGGCATACAGAACTCCAGCCACCTAAAACCAAAACAGATATATACCCAAACATATAATAATCAAGATTCCAGAAATCCACCAGAAGAACAGAATATTAAAAGTGGCCAGAGAAAAGAAGCAGATCACCTACAAAGGCAAATCATCAAAATAATGACAGACTTACCAACACAACTCTCAAATTGAGAACAGCCAGGGGGGAAGTAGTCCAAGCCCTGAAAGAAAATAATTTCCAACCAAGATTAATGTACCTGGAAAAACTCTCTCTCAAAATTAACGGAGAAACAACATATTTCCAAGACAAGGAGGAACTGTGGGAGTTCATGGCCACCAACTCAACCCTAAAAAAAATACTGAAGGACATTCCAGAGAGAGAGAGAGAGGAAAAAAATACCAGGATTCCAGTAACAGTGGTAGAGAGGCCTTAATGAACGGGGCAAGCAGTGGAATGAAGGAGTAAAGTGGACAAATAATAGCAGAAGAATAGAATAGCAGAGATGAGGCAGAGATGGTAAGCTATAATCTTTAATATAGATAGCCTTGATACACTAAAAAAAAAAAGAAACACAGGCAGAGTAGATTAGGAGGCAGTATCTATCAAGATGCTCTGAATAGGAAATACACTCAACCTGAAAGAGGGTTAATAAACTGATAGTCAAAGATGAGAAAACAATGCTATATGTGACAGAAAACAATGCTATATGTGACAGAACTGGACAGAAGGGACAACTCATCCAGCAGCTGCAGATAGGTTGGAAAGTTATGACACTTTGTGCAGTGTAGAACTACACAGCTGGAGGGAAGGAAAACCTTTGTGGCTTTAGTAAGTAAAGGAGTACAGCTCAAGATTAAGCTGAGGGGTAAAAAAGGTTCAGCAACACTCAGAAAGATAACAGGTTGATCCCTTAGTCTAAAAACTAAAGGAGCTAGTGGGACCCAAAATATACAAAGCATCCTGAGAAGGGGAAAGGTGAGGAATTGCCTAAAAAAGGAAGCAGAGGACATCATTAAAAGTGTATCAGAACTTAAAA